AACAGCAAGACAGAGTAAAGCATTAGGAAGAACAAAAACAAAAAACAACCTTAAGACTGCCCTGTACAAGTCAAGAAATGCCAGGCAAGCTGTTAGCATGTGTGTCACAGCATGTGGCCTAGGGGTGTTGGGGATGACCATCACCACCCTTGAGTAGCCATGCTACAGTCCACTAAAACACTGGGGCCCCCTGAAGGAGCATTCAGGAAAGATCATCAGCTGGACTCTGCCTTTTAGGAAGGGCTGGCATTCCATACTGCTCAGAAACGCTGGGAGACTTCTCCTTATATTTTCTCTGGGCTGGGGTATCTTAGAGAACTGAAATTTAACTTCTCTTCTTTTAAGAATCTGAATTTCTCAAACTAGTACAAGATGCCGGGGTGGGGGTGGGAGTGGGCTACAGGGAACTCAGAGATGGTGGACAAGGGTTAGTTCAACCAAATATCAAAACGAACATTTTAAATATGCTAGCTGGACCACTGAAGGAGAATATATGAAATTTGCACCCCAAATAAATACATGCAACAAACCTTCCAGCTTTGTAATAAACAAACAAACAAGTCCCTAAACCCCTCTTCTGTCCAGAAGCCCAAAGAATGGGCATACACATATGCACATGGCTCTTAGATTTGGCAATCACCATCCAAGGGTAAGACTCTTTCCCATTAGCCCCAAGCCCACATTCTAGGAGAGCCTTGGGGTTGGAACCAAATTGTGTAGCTGGTCACCTTACCCAAGGATATACCAACTACGATCCCTATGCTTCCTGCATTATTTAGGAAACAGTAGCACAGGAGGTTCAAGTCAGACAGGGACAAACACTTTGTAAAACAACAGCACGTGGTGCCAAAAGACCCGGGAGAATTCCCTTCCCTAGAAGTGCTTTATACAGTGGAGGACCGCCTGCTACTGTGGCTGCTGGAAACCGCTGGCTGAGAAAACTGCAAGCAAACCCTACAGCCCTGTCTTTCCTGTAAATCACTCAGGCCGCTCCTGAGGTATCATTCCAGCTTTAACATGAGACCTTCAGAGGCTGTACCATCTTGGGAAACAGCTGACCTCGCTTACTGCCACGTTAACCCTCAGGAGCAATTCTTTCCCTCTTCCCTGACTGCGGGTGAATATTAAGCAGAAAGCTCTGCCTTTGTGTGTTTATTATCTGGGCGAAGTGAGGAAAGAACGCTCTCATTAGCAGCTGTGTGCTGGTGGCAGGAACTAAGACTGTTTTTGCTGCACCCCGACTCTCCCTCTTCACTGTCTGATGCATGCTGTCCCTCGTAATGGACAGCGCGTCACAGTGTGCACCTCAGAAACCACCCTCGCCGACTTAGTCGTTTTCATTTCTGGAGTCAGCCCTCCTGATGGACTCTTTTGCACAGGGTGGAGAAGCAAGACTCAATCCCACTCTTCATTGTTTCACCAGGGGAAGCGTAAAGGCTAATAGAATAGGTTCAACCTAGAACTTTACAGAGGAGAAAGATACAGTATAAAATTGGAACTAAATGCAGCAGGTTCCCAAGGTAAGAAAAAAAAAATATATAGATAGATCTTCAAGGCAGGAATGAAAGATATCACGAGACCAAAATACTTGAAACAAAAGTGACTCTTTACTCCACTCTAAAGAACCTGGATCAGAATCTGACGTGGACCAGGTTTTGCTGGAAGCATACCTAAAGGCCAAGCATGGCTGTCTGAAGATACAGAGAGAGGAATGAGTGCCCAGGCCAAGACTGGGGCAGTGGCGGGCTGGAAAATCTACACCGTCCTTCCTGACAAACACAAGGTGAAAACGGCCACCAAGGCCCCTGTTTCTTTCTTCTCTGCCGCTTTTCTCGGACCAGAACAGAGACCAGCAGGCAGCTGCCTCTCCCTGGCTTTGGAGGGTTCGGCAGGGCTTGTAGGTTTGAAGCAAAGGCTGCTGCTGGGCTGAGCTGCTCCTGTCCCATCTCTTCCTGCTCTTTCCCTGCGCTTACCTTAGCAGCATGCCGTGATGCAGAGAATTCATCACCTGATGTGACAGCCCAAGCGAGCCTGGCACTAAGAAACTCTCATTTGCAACCCAGAAATACGCTGAGGTGCCGCAAACTGGCTGATGTCAGCACCAAGTGGAGCTAGACCTGCATCCCGGCCAGATGCCATTACCAGAGATGCCTTCAGCATGGATGAAGACTTGTACGTGCTCCAGGCCCTCAATCACCCAGGCTGGTGGGCCAACGAAGATGCAAAACAAAGAACGCGGATATATCCTCTCTCCTCCTCTGGCCCCCTGTGTGTTACACCCACACTCATGCATGCAGGCATGTGTGTGTACACACACACACACACACACACACACACACACACACACACACACACTGCTCCTATGTATCCCAGGCATATTAGTTCACATAAAAGCTACACCCTAGATCCATAATCTTATTCTTTCTTCTTCCCTTCTTCTCTCCCTTTCTTCTTGGCCTCTTCTGCTGCTTCTTTCTCCTTCTCCTCTCAGATGTGGACAGGGTCCCACTACAGAACCCATGCTGGATTCAAACTTGTGATCCTCCTGTCTCTGGCTCTCAAGGGTTGGGATTACAGGTGTGTGCTACTGCACATGGCCTCATGCATTATTTTCCTACAAAGCCAGAAGAACTGTTTTCCTAATGTGCTTCCTCAAGATAGCCAAAGACAGGCTTCAGAATGTAAAGATGTGATTGCGAAGTCCCCTGGGGGTCATCCTCTAGTTCAAAATTTCCCAGGAAAATTTACAATGGGAAACAGATCTGGGCCCAGCCTGGCACTCCTCCAATCTTATCTCTAGCTGCCCCAAAGGGATCTCTCAAAAAAACGTAATTTTGATCATATCACCGCCCTGGGTAAACCTTTCGAGACTTTCCACTGGCTTTCAGATGAGGTTCAGTGTCCTCATCGAGTGGCTACTAGCATCTTTGATTGTGTTTATTCCCAAGCCAACACTCTCATTTACTACTTCAGCTACTCGGGCTACTTAGGAATTCCCATAACAGAGCAGGCCTGCTTCTTTCTCCTTGAATACAGCGCGCTCAAGCGTCCAGTGATACCCACTTAAGTAGGAGCTCCTCACGAGGCCGAGTTTAACTACCCTCTGGGCTCCGTTCCTTGGCAATGTCCACCTCTCCACCAGCTCCTCAAGGCTCTGTAAACACCTGATCACCCGACCTATGCGTCACGTCGAGTGTGTTCCTTCACAAGACCCTCCCCTCATTTACGGAAACGCAGAGGCACGGCTGTGTTAATATGTCTCTGATTCCAAAGAGCCCCGCCACAGTGTCTGTCTGACACAACATGAATTTTGATAGACCTATCTTGAAGGGAACACGGGAAGGTATAAATAAATAAACACATGGGGATACCAGAGCATCCATGCTCCATCAAGAAATGATACAGGAAGCTCAGTTCATTAGACTAGATAGGAGCAGTGATGTACGTTTAAAACTTATTCAAGATACCAAGCAGAAGTGGGTCTTGTGTCTGGGTAAATTCCGAATGCAGCCTGTAACCTTTCCCTTACTTACTAAACTGCCACCAGGGAGACGGCTTATTCCAAACAGTTTGCCGCGATTAACATTTACACGATAGCACTTTGTTTCCAGGGAGAAGAGTTGAGAAGAATATTGTACCAGGGCTTCACAAACCATCTCAAGCAGTGGCAGTGTCCGGATAGACTCAAGGACAAGGTATACTTCCTACCTGGAATCCAGACAGTTTCTAGGTCACTGCTTTGAGCATGGCGAGTGCTCTAAAATGTGCAGGCATGGCCCCTAAATGCCCCCCCCCCCCCATCCTGGGAATATGCTTTCCTATCTTTTCTCTTTCCAGGAATGAGACACACATGTAGCTTCTGTCTTAGGATGTGGGAACAAAGCTGGCATATCCAATATAAAATATCCTTACACACGCCAAATATTTGGATTTTTGAAAAAAAAAATTGTTTCGATATTGTTGTTAGTTGATAATACTTTATTTGCTAAATTAGGTAGCCTCTTTTGGGAAATTTCCTGGGGCCATACATGACTCAGCATCGGTTTTGGTGCCGAGCATGCTCTGACCCTACGTATGAGAACCCTTGTATAGAAAAGCCCCTGTGTGGCTGAGAGACTCACTTCCTCACTGCCTCGGCTCTGCTTAATGTCCATAGTTCCTTAAAGATCAGGATGCTCACCTGGTCTTAGAGTCAGGTGTCACCCGGAGAGCCTACCTGTCCTCATACATATTTCTCTGAAATCAGTCATCTGCCTGGATCATCTTATGATACTCCTTCTAGGGTTCCTGTTTCAACAGCTGCTTGGCAGTGGGGGCTTCCTCTCTGACTGCTAGCTAGCACTCAGTGACACTGGTGGTTTCACACTGCTGTCACACTCCCATAAACTTGGGAGCCTTAGGATCTTGTGCAGGTCTTTCAGAAAGACAGTGCAATCAACATTCCTGGGAAACCATACTCACGCTGTAACAACTTTTGCAGTTTAAGATGCTGCAAAGAAATAGCAGGTTCTCTGTGATCAAAGCGCTGTTTTATTACCCTAAAGAGAAGCCCAGTGGGAGCTTCTTTTGGCTTTACCTGCCCAGGTCTCCTGGTCTCATGGACTCCATGTCATCTTCCAAGGCCAGGCTTGAGAGGTACATCCCTGTAGGCTTCTTCACGACACACCATCATCTATTTCTCTAGATTTCACTTCATTGACACTGAACCATGTCCAACCTTTATTTACCTTTTCAGATCTCCACAGGAACACCATGTCCTTTCTATTCTGATCACTTAGTTTTTTTAGTTCTACCTTGTGCCATTTACTAGACATATGGTGGTAGATAGAAAAATTAAGGAGAAAAATCTAGTTTCTAGCATCAACGATTTTAAAGTTTTGTGGAAAACAGACATTTTTAATCATCAAAAGAATACATATTGCATCTAGATTGTCCTAAGTGCCAGGACAGAATAGTTTATAAGGATTTCATGGACGCTTCTGTAATGTTGGTCTGAAGGTGCACAGAAAACAGTGATGTAAAAGAGTGGAATCAAGAGGCTCTCAGACAGTAAGAGGACTCTACCTAAAGGCCGTGAGGAATTAAAAGGGGGGTGGGTTGGGGAAGAGGGAAAGAGACAAGATAAGGCTGAGGATAGAGAAAAACTCGATCACTGAACTTGAAGACCTTGTGGAGGGCTTGCTTTGACACTTTCCCTCAGTAAATAATGCAACAAGAAGCCACTTGAAAGCAAGGAACATATCCAATGCTGTGGCCTCTCAGTGAAGCACTTGTGATGAATGAATGAAGAGCTGGTGCTTTGAAAGCTTCCCTAGTATCTTAACCCTAGGGAGATGGGGCCCTGGCTGCCGGAGGCCATCATGGCTGCAAAGATATACACGCTAGGTAATTTGTTTATTCCAGACCACAAATACATATTAGCACTGGCACATAAATCAATGGGAACTCATTCTTACTCCTCAGGGGAGGACACCAGGACTCAGAAACAAGGTTAACCAAACTTAGTTCCCATTATAGGCTAATACTTTGGGTGCTTCAGGCATAAGGAGCCGGGGCTGGGTGACAATGTAGAGTCACCATTCAGACATCCAGACACCACTAGGCCTTCACTCGGGTGAAGGCAGGCGACTCAAGCTTGTGGATTACCTTCTGGGATCTGTTACTGAGTGGCTGCTACAACACATGGCTCAATCAGGCAGCATACATACAAACCATAAGCTTGGCCTTAGAAAAACCAGGGCATTCTAAGCTCTTCCAATACTAACTTACAGCTCAGCTGACATCCACTTTCATGGATCTGGGGTATGACCCAGAAGAAACGCCAAGTGCGCAGTACGCCTGGCCAGTTAGCATGGCTTATCGCACACTGGTGATGTATAGTAAGATAGAAAATCCAACCGATGTGAACAAACTCTCTCCTGGTCTTCCATCTGCTGCCTTCAGGGTGTGGGGTCAGTACCAACTGCACCTGAATTAGCATGTAGCATCCTCCAACATCCCCATGTGATATGACTGAGATCAGCTCCCAGTCATGATCTGCTTTGGTGTTTTCTAGCAACTATCTCCCCCTCCCCCAAATCCATCTATCATGAAGACCCAGAATTAATACCACTACATAAGGCACAGTAGACAGAGGTTGAAGTCAGCTGTACTACTCTGTGGCTCACACAGAATGTGAGACTGTGTACAGTTTCAGGTCTAGGATGGATTGCTTTCTCACTGCTATTAAAAGTACAAGTAAAATGATCACACCAAGTGCTCCTATGCCCCACAGACATACAGGAATCCCGAGGCCAGCCATACAGTAAGCAGGGTGTTAAAATTGAAAAGTGTCAGTGCTTATTCAACTTTCCAAAGATTATCCTGATCTTCTAGGAAAAAAAAAAAAAAAA